ATAATTTAAGATAATATTGGCAAACATCAATTATATGAAAGTGAAAATGATGTATAAATTTAAGTTGGAAATATATTTATTTGTTTAATCCAATGTTAATTAGCAACCTTGTCATAAAAAGTTTTTGGTTACATGGTTGACTAATTTGACCTAAGTTCTCATATTTAAGCTAACATGTTAAATTCTCATACTATACAATTTTGATCCTTCCCACAAGATATTTAATGTTGCTGATTTATACACTATGTTGAGTTATCTTATATTGTGAATTATTAATCTACCCATTGTATACAGTAATTGTCTTGTAAAATTTAAAATCATTATATACATATCGTAGATTGTTGTAAACTATTGAAATCGTCCAACAATCTTACGAATGATGATGCAAAGAAAAAAAAGGAGATTATGTATATAGTTCAAATGGTAAAGTTTCTCAGGCAAATTGATATAACACGGATTTTACTGGTTTTAACCGTGATTTACGTGTTAGTTTTAGAGTCTTTTTGTTGTTTCCAGTGTCTTTTTGAGTCTTTTCAGGTTTTTGCACGTTCGGGACGAAATTGGAGAAAAGGAATCATTCTGGAGCTAAACTGAAGATTTGGAGCTGAAGAGACGAATTCGGTTCGAACCAAGGCATGAGTGTCGACCGACACCTTGGTGTCGCTCGACACCAAACACGGCCCAGCAAGAAGTCTCGACGGTTTAGAGTTTTAAAGCCCGAAGAATTTACCCAGAAGACTTCCCTATTTGCAATTTTAGTCCCTACACGTTTTTGAGACTTTATATATAGTTTTTAGGGTTTTTCTATTTCATTATCTTGTCTTTGGCTTTTGTATTTCTCTGAGCTTGAACCCTTTGGAAGATAATTGGAGAGAGCAACTTTTCAGAGATTCAATACCTTGTTAGAGAGAAGATTTATTCTAAACTCTTTTCTTCTTTTAATTTCTTATTTTGTAATTTATTCAACATGTTTTCTGTTTCATTAATCATGTCTGAGTAATCTCCCTGTTAGGTTTAGGGATTCCCATTAGGGATTTAGATGAACTAGTAAATCAATTATCTGTTAGGATTAATCCATAGAGTTCTTCATCTAGGTTGTTCTTAATGCTTGTTCTAGAGTAGCTAACTAGAACATGATCTTAGGATAATAGGTATTTGATCCGAGAGGGCACCTGTTACTGGAACTACTTTAGATGAGCCTGGTTTATAGGTGTGTAATAAGAATCGGCCTATCTACTAAGGTGAACTTATCAAACCTGTAGTTAATGCTAGTCTAGATCTAGGAATTCGCATCGAGAGGTGGAATTACTGATATTAGGCTTGTTAGTTATTGCATCGAGAGGTGGTTAGCTATTCATTAGTGATTTGAGTTCAAGAACGGTTCACTAAATAATCCTAATCAACTTGCTAGATTTACTAATAGTTTATTTCCTGAGAATTTCCCTAAATCTGACGTTTTAATCTATTGATCTTTTCACCTGAAATCATTGCTTGCTTTTGTTTTGTTTTAATTTTAGTTATTTTGTTTAGCATAATTTTGAGACTTAATACTTATTGTGTGAACAAAATAACTTTGTGGAATTTGACCCTTAAGTACTGCAATAGATCTCTTATTTGAGAGAGTAGGCTTTAGGATCAATTTGACTTGTATCACAAATCTTAGAGGTCGTCGGTTTGAGAGACACTTGGGAAGAGACCATATAAAGGTTCTGGTCCCTGATCTGAGAGGATATACGGACCCAAGCCCAGAATTTCTTAATTATTAAAAAAATAACAAAAAAACGATGTAAATAAAAAAATGAAATATTCTGCATTTTTTAAAAGTATTCATCATAAGAACTTTAAAAATGATGGGGATCTTTAAAAGTTTTATTCATATAGATTAAACAAATTATTTATTTAATTTCTATAATGTACTTTTTTACCTAGGATATGGCCGTGTTTTTTCTTTTAAATAACAAAAAGGTGATGTGAATATTCTGAATATTTTCAAAGTTAACCATTCAATCATATATATAAGAAGGACCGAAAAACTTCCAAAATTATTCATATAGAATAAGGAAGTTAGGCGTTAAAAAAAAGGATTAAGAAAGTTATTTTATTAAATATAAAATATTATTATATAAAAAATTACCCCTTAACAATCATAAGTACACACACAATTAGGAGTACTACCAACTTTGGATGCAATACATTCTCCAACTCCATTGCGCTCCGCATAACAGTTTAGACGACAATCATCAGGGTAACATGGAGATAGATCAATGATTAGAGTACAACGTTTATCTCCCTTAACCTTCTCAACAACTGAAAAAACTAAAAAAGTAAAATACCCTATGTTATAACGTAAAACTATATATATACACATAGATAGTTTATGTAATGTAAAGATGAAAACTAATTTTTGATGTTTAGAAGTAAAAAATATGAAATTACCTGACAAAACAAGCATGAGTATGAGGAAATAAGAACATGATATTTTGGCCATGATCAATGTATCACAACAAAAGAAAGCTACTAATGTTTCATAAATTAGAGATGATAAATAAAAAAATCTTTTCTATGCTTTATTGTTATGTAACGTTTGTGTTTATATATACTGGTATAAATATAAACAGAAATAAAAATAAAAGGAACGTGAATGAATGTTGATAATTGTAGGGTTTGACTACATTGATTACGATCTGCACTTTCTCACTGTAGTAAAATTATAGCAATTATCTTATTTCATAGAAATAATTTTTCTTTTCCTTTCATGATGCTTCTTTCATGTGTAATACGTTTTATTTCTATCAATTTCTATACTTAAAAAGTGTAGTCAAAGTTCAAACAAATAATTATTACATTAACATAAAAGTCTTGGCTAGTTTTGAAATAAATGTGACAACATACAAATAATAAAAGAGTCACATAGTTTAGGTGGTAAATAGAAATTGAAGAAGAATATCTTAAATTAACTTTAAAATAAGTTTTACGGACAATTATAGGACTTCCGAAACAGTTGTAAATAACATTATAGTAGTATTTTTCTTCGGAAACAGTTGTAAATCACAGTTGTAAAGGACTTCCTAAACAGTTGTAAATCATATTATAGTGACATGAGATTACATTTTTATGAATGTAATATTGAATTGTTTTCAAAAACTTAGTGATTTAAGTTAAAACACTTTAAATATTGTTTATCAGAAAATAATCCACAAGATTATACAAAGATAATGTTGCATGTGTTTTCCAAATCAAAGAAGGTTATATCAAGAGCGAGAGAACAAAATATATCCTTTCAAGATGCTTCTTCTACAATCAAGAACTCGAGAAGAACAAGAAAGTCAATATTTAGTACATCCTCTCAAGTGAAAATACAGCAGATCTATTCACAAAAGTGTTTTTGACTACCACATTCAGAAAACATATTTATAGTATCGGAATGTGTCATATACGGGACCTATAATACAATGGTTATATATATTTTCGAGGGAGAGTTTACGTGACTGTGCTCTTTTTCCGTTATCAAGGTTTTGATCCCAAGGAGTTTTTCTGTGATAATGTTTTCAACAATGCAGTACGTGACTCGTCAAAGGTGATAGATAGTCAAGAAAGAATATTGTGAGGCAAGTGTAATTCTCTATCACAACACATGACATATACACATGTCCATAAAATGGACACTAATCCTGAAGGAGTAACACTTGTAAACACACCTTCTCCACTTATTGTTTGTCCTCTACACTTGTGATTGTCTTTTCAACAAAAGTATGACTCAGCATCCTCTCTTCTCCATTATAAATAGGAGCTTGTTCAAGAAGATAAATATAATATAAAGATATAATAACAAGAATCCTCAAGAGGTTCTCTCTTTTTTTTTCTTTTGATTTCATATTTTCTTATTTCGAGTTATATTTCGTAAGAGATGCTATTTTTATAGTCATGAGGTTTATTAAGCTTTAGCTCTACTTTTAAGGGATCTTTCAGAGATGATAGTTTTTATTAGCAATCTCGTGGATAAATTTTTTAAGATATATGATATTCACAACATAAGCTAGTATTGGCAAACATCAATTACATGAAAGTGAAAATGATATATAAATTTAAGTTGGAAATAAATTTATTTGTTTAATCTAATATTAATTAGCAACCTTGTCATAAAATGTTTTTGATTTCATGGTTGACTAATTAGAGATAAGTGCGTTTACTTAAGCTAAGATGTTAAATACTAGCTAAGACTATATAATTTTGATCCTTCCCATAAGATTTTTTATGTTGCTAATTTATAATGTATGTTGAATCGCCTTTTATTGTGAATTATTAATTTATTCATTATATACATGTTGTCTTGTAAAATGTTAAAATCATTATATACGTACAGTAGATTATTGTAAACTGTTAAAATCATCCAACAACTTTACGAATGATGATGCAAAAAACAAAGAAAAAACGCTGTATATAGTTCAAATGGTAAAGATTCTCAAGCAAACCCTAAAATTCGTCGATTCGAGTGACACTTGGAAAGTCACCTAGTCCCTTACCTAAGAGGATATATGGGCCTAGTCCCAGAATCTCCTAATTATACAAAAACAAAACAAAAGAAAACAATGTAAAAAAAAAAAAACAATCGAAATATTATGCATTTTTTTATAAAGTATTCATCAGAAGCACTTTAAAAATGATGGAGGTCTTTGAAAATTATATTCATACAGATTAGGCAAATTATATATTTAATTTCATGAACATATTTTTTTTATCAACAATTACAGAAAATTGATTATTTAAAATTTTAAGATTAATTATATATTTAAAACCTTCAGTTAATTAATTTTACCTAGGACATGGCCGTGATTTTTGTTTTAAATACCAAAAAAAGTGATTCGAATCTTCTGAATATTTTCAAAGTTAATTATTCAATCATATATATAAGAAGGGCCGAAGAACTTCCAAAATTATTCACATAGATTAAGAAATTTATTTTATTAATTATAAAATATTATTACTTAAAAAATATTTCGTCAACAATCATAAGTACACACACAATTAGGAGTACTACCAACTTTTGATGCAATACATTCTCCAACTCCATTGCGCTCCGCATAGCAGTTTAGACGACAGTGTACATGGTGACATGGAGCTAGATCAATGATTAGAGTACAACGCCTATCTCCCTTAGACTCAACAATTGAAAAACCTAAAAAAATTAAAATACCATATGTTATGACGTAAAACTATATATGTGTACACGCTTGGATATGTTATGTAATGTAAAGACGAAAACTAATTTTCGATGTTTAGAAGTGGAAACATGAAATTACCTAACAAAACAAGCATTAGTATGAGGAAATAAGAACATGATATCTTGGTCATGATCAATGTATCAAAACAAAATAAAGCTACTATTTTTTTTTGTAAATTAGGGATGATAAATGAAAAACTATTTTCTTTGTTTTATTGTTATATAACGTTTGTCTTTATATATATATAGGTATTAATATAAACAGAAATAAAACCAAAAGAAACGTGAATGATAAATGAAGGGTTTGACTACATTGATTACGATCTGTGCTTTCTCATTGTAGTATAGCAATTATCTTATTTTATATAAAAAACTTTTTTTTTTTTCCTGATGCTTCTTTCATGTGTAATACGTTTTATCTCTATCAATTTCTATACTTACAAAGTGTACTCAAAGTTCAAACAAATAATTATTACATTAACATTAAAGTCTTGGCTAATGTTGAAATAAATGTGACAACATAAAAATAATAAAAGAGCCACAAATTTTAGGTGGTAAATAGATATTAAAAGAAAATATCTTAAAATATCTTAAATTAAATAGAAATTGAAGTAAAATATCTTAAAATATCTTAAAATATCTTAAAATAACTTCAAAATAAGTTTTATAGACAATTATAGCACATACTTTACAAAATTTTAAAAATATTAATAGTTGTTGATACAATGACTATTTTGTGTTTATCTAAGAAGTTTTTCAATAATTAACAGTTGTAAATCACATCATAGTAACATGAGATTACATTTTTATGAATGTAATATTGAATTGTTTTCAACAACTTAGTGAATTAATTTAAAACATTTTAAATATTGTTGACTCTAGTTCATAGAATTTTTTTAAGACAAATTATTTAGGAAGCTTTGAACAATTAAATAAAGTTTCCCCAATTGTTACTTAATTATTTCCAATAATTAAGTAAGACCTTCTTAAGCAAGGATATTTTAGTTTTTGGATATATCATAGTTTTTACGGTTTTATACCTTGATATAAGTTTTAGTTATAGAGTATTTCATTTTTTTTAGAGTCCTTTAATTTTAAGTTTTTCAGAATTTTGCACGATCGAGACTGGATTGGTGATAATGGAGAATTTTGGAACGAAACCATAGAGTTAAGTTGAAGAAACGAATGTGGTGCCGAATCTAGGTGCAAGTGTCGATCGACACCACACTTAGTGTTGGTCAACATTTTCGCCGGCTTCAGCAAAAAATAAGAATTAACAAGTTTTGAAAAATTACATAATCATCTCTGAAGACTTTTGTATTTGCAACCTAGTCCCCGAACATTTTTATTAGCTTATAAATAAAAAATTTGGTCATTGTTTTAAGTCTATCTTTATCTTTTGCAATCTTTGGATTTTGAGAGCTTGAACACCTTTTGAGAAAGAATTGGAGAGAGCTTGATTTCAGAATTCAGTACTTGTAGAGATAAGATCTTCTTAACTATTATCTCTTACTGATTTTTTAATGCAATTCTATTCAAACATGTTTTTCTTTCTCTGATCATGTTTGAGTAGTCTGCTTGTTAGGATTAGGGATTCACATAAGGTTTATGATGGATTGTTAAATCTGATTAAATTGTTAGGATAAATCAACAGAGTTCTTCATCTAGGATTGTTCTTATTTCTTATTCTGGATTAGCTACCTAGAAATTGATCTTAGGATTAATTAGCACGAGAGTGTGATTTTTCCTGAGTATCTTAGGTGAGTATTCTTAATGAGATTTGGTTTAGGGCTTTTTATGAACCAATCACACATGTTTTTAATACTTATCTAGATTTTGGAATTTACAAAGAGATTTGGAATTCTAGATTTTAGACATAATAAATTCATGCAACGAGAATCGATCGATTTTACCTTTTGTGATTCGAGTTCTAGAATTTTTCTTAATTAGTTTCTAACAATTTATCTAATATGCAATTCTGAATTATCCTAAGAAATTCCTTGAGCCTAACTATTTCTCCATCTGAATTTAAAACTAATTTTATTTTCTCTGCTATTTTAATTTTAATAATTTCTATTTAGCTTGATTTGAAAACTAGAAATCAATTGTGTGAACAAAAATACTTCGTGGAAATTTGACCCTTAAGCGTTACAATGATCTTTTGTTTGAGTGAGTATCTCTAAGGAAATTTGAGCATATCATCTTTTAACATTAAATTTGTGCTATTTGTGGAATATTTTAAAATATGTGCTATTTTTGAAAACAAAAATTATTTTTGTGCTATTTGTGAGAAATGTCTAAATTCTAATCACACATGTGTTTTTTAGTTAATGGAACCACTTAAATTTAAGTTTCACTTTTCAAATATACTGTTTAATAATTTGTATATTATCCATAGTGCAAATATAAATTTGATTAAATATTACCCATAAATATAATTCCCTTAACTTTTTCCTTTCAAATGGATAACTTAGAAGTAGGGGCTACAATTTTTAACTCATCTCACTATGTTGAAGGTTGATAAATCATAGTTAGTGTTTAGAATGTTTATATAAATTTTTTCTTTCACCGAAAGCAATATTCTTCCGAAGTGATAATGGACCTGAACCCTTATAAAATTATATTCGAATGTTTTGTTTCACATGCTCTGTCTTTCTAGCACTTAGAGCATCTCCAATGGTAGACACTCATAGAGTGTCTCACCAATATAATATTAATATTTTTATGTTTAATTTATTTCGAGAAACTCACACTAAAATTCTACTTCCATTGGTGAGATATCTCTATGGATGTCTCATTAATATAATATTTATATTTTTATATTAAATTTATTTTTTCAAAAATATTTTTAAACATATCAAATTATATCTTAAATATAGTCATTCAAACAAAATAATTATATTTTCTATAGAAGTAAATAATATAATGAATATTAATAATATTTAAAACATTAATTAATAGTACTATTCATTATAAATAATATATTAAAGAGACTATTATTTTTAAAACCACAATTAAACATAAATTGAATTTTAAACAACATATAAACCCATAATAAAGATATATTAAACACAAAATGAGAAGAGTTATTGAATTGAGAGCAGTTAAACAACAGAAAATTCAAGAAAATAAAAACTAAAAACCAAAAAGGATAGTCTTGTACATAAAATTAATATTTTAATAAAAATTTTATATTAAATTTTAAACATATCATTTAATTATATTAGAAATTTTGTAAAACAATATGATTAAAATTACACATCATTTTATCAAATAGATTTTAATTATATTGGACATTTTGTAAATAATGACATAAGATAACACATTATTTATCAAAATATCAAAATATTGACAAAATATCAGATTATTCATCTCAGATTTTTTTTCTAATATTATATTCCTTCCGTTTTCGAATAGTTGTCGTTTTAACTATATGCACAAAAATTAAGAAACTATTAATGTTGTTAGTTTTTCAATATAAAAATATCATTAATTATCTACCTAAACATAATTTAACGAATAGTAAATAAAGTTGCATAATAAAAATAAATACTCCCTCCGTTTCAATTTAGTTGTCGTTTTAGGATTAAAATTTTGTTGCATAATAGTTGTCGTTTTAGGTTTTCAATGCAAATGTTTGGTGAAAATTCATGTTTTGTCATTAATGTTTTAATGTTTTGACCAATAAAAAAATTAAAAAATATATTAATAAAGGGTAAAACAAAAAATTTAATGATTTTCTTAATTTGTGTGCGAAAACCTTAAACGACAACTAAAACGAAACGGAGGGAGTATAAAAAATAAAAAAGTAATAAATTTTGCATCAAAAACTGAAAACGACAACTAATTAAAAACAAAAAAATTTCTCTAAAACGACAACTATTCGAAAACGGAGGGAGTAGTATTTTATTAACTAAAAATATTAATTTATATTTATATTAACCTTAACTAATATCAATTAAAATAATAATAATAAAAATTTAAACTTTTGTATAATGGAGCTTGATTTATAGATAATTTTATTTTATGAATTGTAGAAAAATAAAAAATAAAAAATAAAAACTTATAAATTATTTAATTGATATTATAAATCTTAGAGTAATTGAATTTAAAAAGAAATTGCTAAACCAATCTAGGAGTGACATATGTATGCGAGAGAGAGTTTCTCTCTCAAATGAAAAACGTGTCTCAAAATGTCTCATCTTTTTTGATTAAAAAATTATTTTTTATTTATTTTTGATTTATTTTTATTATGGATGTCTTATGGAGACACTACCATTGGAAGTGCTCTTACGTATGGTTTCCAAACACTTTCAAACTCTTGTAGTTATTTTTCTTTTTGTTGATAAATCAATTTAATATTTCAACAAAAAAAAAGAGTTAGATTCTCTCAAGTGACAAAATTCTTTTCCTCAAACTTTAATGGTAAGAAAAGTATTTAATAGATTAGTACTTGATCTTGATAAGAAAAGGAAAACAAAGAGAAAGATTGAAACTTTGTCTTTTATTAAAACGTTCTCAGATACAAAACAGAGACCAACCTAGGAGGTCTTTTATAGTCTAGGTTTTACACAGTCATAACCCTACAGCTGGCGATCTAATCATTGCCACCTAGCCACTGCTGAGGATCAAAACGTTTATGAGAAGCTTTACGGAACTTTCTGGAGTTTTCTCTTTTGGCCATTTGCACAGCACACACATTGTTACCGTTGGAGAGAAAATGTATTGCTAGACTGTCGATGGGCTTCACATTTAAACTGTCAATGGGCTTCATGTTTTGACTGATGGGCTTAATTGTTTATGAAGCCTTATCCAACTTAAAACAGAGTAGTGTTGCTTTTAGATCCGGGATCAAAAACATTGTTTTGTGCTTATGTTTTTAGGTCGACCTAGTCGAAGAATCTAGATATCTGAATCTAGCACGCTTTTGGTAGTAATAAAGTGATCATATTGTCTCGTGAAGTCTGCTCAACTTTTGATCTAACAACATCTTAAACGGTAAAACTTGTTATATATTTTTATTATATGATAATCTTTTTGTACACACTTAATAATTCTCTTGTCAAATTTTGTGTGGCCATTGACAGTCTATCCGAAAACCGGAGAAAAGACAATGAAACTCCACTCATGA